TGGCACATGACCACCTCCACCACCTTGGCTATGTGTTTTCTGGAAAAGAGCATTTTTCACTTCTCTGTAGGTGGCGCTGTAGGATAAGCCCTGAAATGCTGACCGTAAGGTTGGCAGTTCAGACTCTTCAATAAAAAGATGAGACTTTCTTTTCCCATAAAAATGTACAGCCTCGGAAACCCTAGTCAGGGTCACTACAACTCAGAACTGAGTCAACGGCACGCCAACAACAACTACTATATTTAGGAGTCCTGGTGTGGCATTGTAGAATAAGCACTGAATTGCTTACCTCAAGGAAAGCGGTTCAGACTCACCATCCATTCCTTGGAAACCCGGTTCAGGGTTACTGTGAGTCGAAATTGATCACTTCAAAACTGCAAAATACTGGATGATACCTATTTTTGTGGAAACGGTTGTTTTTAATGAGACTTTGAACAGGAGCATTTTAAACCAAGTAGAGTTAAAAAGGGATCTTTAGGTGTCTCAAGTGGTGAAGTGTGCTGGACTGTTAGCTGGAAGGTTGGTGGTTCCTACCTTCCAGAAGTGACATTGGAAGTAAGACCTCGTGAACTGCTTCTGAAAGGACGTGGTCTTAGAAACTATGAAGCAGTTCTATTCTACACAAAAAGGGGCTACATGAGTCAGTCAGAATTTATTTAACAGTAGCTAACAATGTAAGTTTTAAAACACACACATTCAGGCTTTAAAAAGCTCATGGAAAAGTGAAATTGAAAAATGATAGAATTTTTTTCAGGAACTTTTGAAGCACCTTCATACACATACCTAGTACTGAAAGTCCATGATAGTCTGTGAAATAGGACGTCAAAACCTAACTAACACACCTGGGAACCTGAGATCTATATCCACTGAATACAGGAAGTCCATGGTGTTGGGTAGGGGCAGCATTGGCAGCTGGATCAGGGCTTTGCACAGATCTGGGCACCAGGGGGAGTAGATACAGACAGGTAGCCACCAAGACACGGTCTGAAGGTGCTACAAGTGTGGTTGGTGTTGGCGTCCATGGCTGCCACCACCTTGTTGGTACAGCCACTTCCTGATCATGTGCAGCTGCTGCCTAGAGGCAGCAAGAAAAGGAATGGAGGATCTGCATTAGGCATTGCCCTGAGCCAGAAGTAAGCAGCTGCAAGGCTGATGGATGGGTGAATGGAGCCCAGAGAAGAGGAAGGAAGAGGTCCTAAGGGGATTGGGATGTACCTTGGAGCCCCATGCTCATTCACTTTAGGGGTTGTTGTTAGGTGCCATTAAGTAGGTTCTAACTCATAGTGACTAGTCACAGCAGAATGAAACACTGCCCAGTCCCACACTGTCTTCACAATTGTTATTTTTGAGCTCATTGTTACTGCCCTGTGTCAGACCATCTTGTTGGGGAGTGCTCCTCGTTTGTGCTGACACTCCACTTTTTCAATCATGATGTCCTTTTCTAGGGATTGGTCCCTCTTTATAATATGTCTATACTTCTAAGGAGCATTCTGACTGTAATTCTTCTAATCAAATTGATTGTTCTTCTGGCAGACTATGGTACTTTCAATATTCTTTGCTAACACATAATTCAAATGAATTGCTTCTTCTGCTGCCTTCCTTACTCATTGTCCAACTTTCACATGCATATGAGTCAATTGAAAATACATGGCTTAGGTCAGACACTCCTTAGTCCTCAAACTGACACCTTCAACACTTAAAAAGGGCGTGTGCGGCAGGTAAATCTTTCAAGGGCATTGATTGTGACAACTTCTCTCTTTTTTCATTTATCTTGATGTTATGTATGGGTCTAGCTGTGAAGATTTTCATTTTCTTTACACTGAGGTACAATCCACACCTAAGGCTGTATAGTCTTTCGTCTTCGTTATTCTGTCCTTCGTCGTCATTATTGTAAGTTCTCTTTGTTGTCAGCAAGAAAGGGTGTGTCATTACAGTTGGTTAATGCCTAGTTTTCCAATCTGATACCACATTTCTGCATATATTCAAAAGCTACTCAGATTAGTTCATCCTCAGAAACTCCACACAGAGTGGCTTATGAGTCGGATTCGACATGACAGCATTTGATAACAACAACAATGATTAAAAAAAAAAAAGACAGCTGCTTTCCTTAAAAAAAAAAAGCAAAAATTATTAAAAAATAAACTTATGGTACCACACACATCCGTATAGTCAGCAAACTTTGCCCAAACTGATGTTAGGTTATGCGTGTGTGTGTTTGTAAGCAAAGAGGCTTAAAAAAAACTTGTGGAAAAATCGTGTTATATTTCAATTCCATTTTCCCATAAAACTTTTGAAGTCTCTTTGTGTATATATGGATGTTGTTGTTATGTGCTGTGATGTTGGTTCCGACTCAAAGTGACCCTGTACAGGGTTTCCAAGGCTGTAACTCTACAGGAGCAGAAAGCCTCATGGAACAGAAACTATTCTAGCACTTGGCCAAACCACTGGAATCCATAGCCTAACCAAGTTATAACACATAAAATTGACCGTCAGCCGTACTTTCTAGAATGGGTGAAGACTCTGGTTATAACAGTCATTTTTGACATAAGCAAGGTTTCTTAGCTTTCTTGTTTTGAGATTTCCATCTATAACCTAGTTGGGGATAATAATAACAACAACAATGTTATTTTGTTGGTAGGCACTTTCAAGTTAGTTCCAACTCATAGCGATCCTGTGTACAGCAGAACGAAACACTGCCTCGTCCTGTGCTATGCTTACAATTGTTTCATTTGAGCCCATTGCTGCTGCCAATAGCAGCTGACATTTAGAGTGTTTACTGAGCACTAGATACTGCTAGGAGTCTTGATGTGGGATAATGCACTGAACCGCAAGGTCAGCGGTTCAAACTCACCAGCTGCTCCTTGGAAACCCTATACAAGGTTGCTGAGTCAGAACCAACTCGTCGGCACTCAGCAACACCAAGTACTGTTAAATATTAGATTCACTGTTAATTTATTTTACGAAGTAGTTTTCACTGTTAATCTTATTTTGTAGTTTAGGAAATGAGGGTTAGAGGCGCTAGGCAACTTCGTCAATGTATAATACTTGATCATGTGAGGCAGGAAGATGTCAAATATACTAATCCAGGGCAGGTGCTTATCGGATTCAGGTAATGCTTGCCAGTGCCTCATAACCAGAATCAATTCTTTGTTTTTTATTTCCAATGATGGGATTATAAAATTTACACAAAAGAGTCCTAATATAAGAGTTAAACAGAAGGTATAGCCAACATTGTAATGGTTAGATTGAATAGGTGAAAGTACTTTTTTGTTATTGAGTTGGTTCCGACTCATAGTGATCCTATATAGGATTTCTAGGGAGAAACTTACACGTTTGAACTGCCGACCTTGTGGCTTGTAGTCCGGTGCTGATCCTACAGTGCCACATCAGGCAGGGAGTATGTCCATGGATTGAATAAATTCACTTAATGAAGGAAAGGTTTTGGCTGGTGTCTTGAGGGAAAGACTATAATCCTATAATCTTGTACCAAACTTAACTCCATGCCTTGATGGAGTTTAGACTGTTGGATCTGTGAGATTTTGTACTCCTGGTGTGGTGCTATGGGTTAATACACCAGACTGCAAAGCTGTTTGAACTGCAAGGTCTGCGGTTCAAGCTTACCCAGCTACTCCTTGGAAACCCTATACAGGGTCACTATAGGTCAGGACTGACTTAACAGCACTTAACAACAACAACATAATGACTGGAGTCTTACTGTGGCCTTATAGAATAAACAGTGGACTACAAGTCACTTTGAACCATGACATCAGGTTCAAACTCAGCTAGCCGATCCTAGGAAACCGTATACAGGGTCTCTGAATCAAAACTGACTCAATGGCACTTAACCAACAACACAATAACAGAAATACCAAATACTTTAACAAACAGAAATTTATTTTCTTGCAGTTAGGAGGCTAGGAGTTTGAATTCGGGGTCCTAGCTCTATTAGAACACATACCCTTTGTTAGCTCTGGAGGGAAAAATCTTTGTCTCTTTTGGTATTTTTTTCCTGTGTGATCTTCATATGGCTTGGCAACTGGCTCTCTTCCCCTTCTCTACTTCTTGCTTGCTTGTTTAAACTCTTTTCTATTTCCCATGTGATTGGTTTAAGACAGGCCCTATACTTGTGGTTCTATGGGTTAATACACTGGACTGCAAAGTCAATTTGAACCACAAGGTTGGTGGTTCAAACTCACCAGCCACTCCTTGGAAACCCTACACCAGGTGACCATGAGTCGAAACAGACTTGACAGCACTTATCAACGACAACACATTAATATTGCCTCCATTTATCCCTTGACATATGTAAATACTGTGGTTGATTTCTTAGGCTACAGCTAATGACTAATATAAGTTGAAAATGGTTCAGATGAAGCTAACAATAGAATTTGAAATTTGGGTTGTTGTTTTTTTTAATAGTGAGAAATTAAAGGGCTTAGTCTGAGGAGCAGTTTATATAAAAGTAATGGTATTCCAGTATATATACAACAGTCAGCTTAAACTTTAGCGTGAGAAATTTACTGCTGTTGTTGGTAAGTGCCGTTGAGTCAGTTCAAACCCATAGCAACACCCTGTATAGTGTTTCCGAGAAGCGGCTGATGAGCTTGAACTGCCAACCTTGAGGTTCAAACTGACTTTGCAGTCCAGCGCATAAATCCACAGTGCCACACCAGGACTCCTGGAAATTTACTGGAAGATGCTAATTTCTTCTCACACCATAAAAAGTGATCAAGATAGTGACTGTCTTTAATTCTGGAAATATAAAAATAGAATTCAAATGTTAAAATTGATATTACTATGATGATTTTAAGCTGAGTTTTATTTTAATTGAATGTGAATTGAATGAGGATGTGCTCTGAAGACCACTCCCATACTTGAGGTTAGAGGAACAAGCATTTGAATCCGTTTCATCCTGAGCTTTTTGAAGTCATGCTTATGGCAGTTGTATGACGTTCCCTCTTCCCGATTCGTTCTCTAAAAAGTGTTTTGTCAACATCCAGGCAAACTGTTTCACATAGACTTTGGATATATTTTGGGTCGGGATCCGAAGCCACTTCCTCCTCCAATGAAACTGAATAAAGAAATGGTAGAAGGCATGGGGGGCACGCAGAGTGAGCAGTACCAGGAGTTCCGTAAACAGTGTTACACAGCGTTTCTCCACCTTCGAAGGTAAGTTGATGGACTTTACATTGAGATTTTTGGAAAATTCATTTCAAAAGAGAAGAGGAATTGTCCAAGTGTATACATTCTTTACCATCAGACATTTTTTCAGAATGACACAGGAAACGATATTTCTTAATTTACATTTGTTAACTATTTTGATCAGCATTCAGATATCAAAGGAAGAAAAGCTAAACTTCTGATTCCCACTAATTATCTGATTGTTATCCCACTAAATCAGAAGCTGAAATTGCAGAAGATTAGTCCAACACAGAGGCTTCAGAATTAGTAGCATGGCGTCATTTTCAGGAAACAGACTGTGCTAATTTGATAGTACTGGAACAGAGATCAGTTTTCCAATCTTGGAAGATTACAGTCCCAACGCTACATTCTTTTCCTTCTCCCGGTAGACTTTCTACTTCCTAAGCAAAGACTGAAATATTTTACTTATTTAAGGTGAAATTAGCTCAATTATTTTTATTGTTCAGTGTCTTTCTCAGCCAAGTTTTTGGTTATTTGGGAGGAAGAGGAGGGACCATCCCAAAGTTTAGCTAAGTAACTGAAAAGTTAACTATTCTTTAGCAGAAAATCCCAACCCAGGAATCATGTCTGCATATTCTGCCAGGTGAAAGTAGAATGGTGCAGCTGGGCTCTATCTAGTTTGTTTCTGTAGTCCTAAGACCTGGTGTGGCACTGTCACGATCAGCACTAGTCTGCAAACCACAAGCTCATAGGTCAAACCCACCAGCTGCTCCTAGGGAACCGTATGCAGGGTTATTGTTAGTGAACAACACTTAACAACAACAGTACCGCGTAAGTACTTCAGTCATAGACACTGAATTTTTGCTTATTTTCAATGTTTGTGTGAGAACCCCTGGATTTTCTTGTTGAGTAGCTCTTGGATGAGATCAGGATCCCAAGTAATGTTGATGTGTCTGGTCCCAGAAGGAACTGTTGTCCTTTTAAAATCAGGTTTCTTTTTGCAGTGTCTAAATAGGATTTTCATGTTTATTTAGTCTCTATACATGTTATAAACCCTTGAATATGTGTTCTACAAAGAAACCACATTATTTGTCCTTTGGGTGACAAAATTTTACATTCCAGGATTTCTAAAAGAATAATAATAAGTTCGGTATTCTTTTCCATTTGCCTGAAGATGCAAGAAAACACTTTCAGAGAGGTGGGAATTTCTACTTTAATAGCTGGACTATTTTATTTAAAATGATCAAAGCCTATAGAAAACTAGATGGAATCATGATGATCCCAGCAAGGAAGCAGGAAAAGATGATGTGAAATGATAACTCGAGACATGTCAAAGATTTTTTATCTCATTGAAAGCAGAAAGAAAACTGCTTTTATAAACTGTCATTGATAATGGATAATTAGCATTTCAATAGAAGGAGCAAACAGAGAAAGGTTATTAACCAGACTTTTCTTAAACACAAAGAAAAATCATGAAGGGATTAATCTAAATAATAATGGCAGATCTTTATGAAAATTGCTTAATTTTTTATTTTTAAAAAAGTCATTGTACTTCATTTAATATCACCTGGGCCCTAATGTGTTGATCAACATTTATCTTTTAATCTTTTATTTTCAAATATGATTCTGTTGTTAAAAACTTGCCTGTACCATGTAAGAATTAACTTGGTCCTCACAAGCTTGATTGAAGCTAAGTCTGTTTGATCGTTTTATACTGAGGTTTGCAAATAGCACCAATCACCTTCTTTTCAGTCTTTTGTTGATTGCTGATCAGTTTCTTCAAAATGAAATTATTGAATGCCATCAGATCCCATAAGCAAGTTAAGTTGAGTTACAGTTTTGCCGGTATGAGGACACATTTTATGAAGTTGTAGTGTTCATGTAACAAATACATTATCATCTGTTTTATAATCAATACAAAGGTGCTTCACAAAGTTTGTGGGTAAGTTTTATTATCTTTTAATTCCACTTTTCACAAAACATTTTGAAGCCTCCTCAAACATACTACACCAGCAATTAATTGGTAATTTTAAAAACAAAATCTCATGGCAACATTAGTGTTGTGAGAAAATGGGAATTTTAACTGTTCAAGGAAAACATAACCTTTTTTTTAAACAATCCATGTTTATGCCAAATACCTTGCTAGATGATGGGGATAAAAGGTTGGCCCAAATTTTTAGGTCAAAGCCTCCAATTACGAAAATACGGAAAGTGTTTAACCAGACCAAGTTTCTCAGAAGCTGTTTGTCTAGTCACTAAATTTACATGAATTTGTTCATCATGCTATCTTTTCATCATTAATGAATTGCTTTCTCCTCCTTTAGTAGTATAATGAAGTACTTTTTCAAGGTTCCAGTCTGATCTTTTTACATACACTACGAAGAGACTAGAAGAGAAACAGTTCTCGTAATCACTGTAAGAACCTCATTTGATGCATTAAATGCATTTGTATTCAGTGCTTTTACTGAAAAAGTTTAGGCCATCGTTATATGATCAGTGTATATAGTATGGTGCTTGGCATAATCATGGGTTAAGAGTAAGAATATGTTTCTTGAACATTGCATTTAGCTTATTAATCTTTTTTAAAAATTCCAATTAGATTACATCCTCCTTTCATATTCATTTAATTAGCACATTTTGCTCACCATATTATTTATTTGTATTCTAATTTAAAATACTGTACTGTCTTTTTATAATGGTTTTAAAGGTTCATAGTAATCATGACAGTTTCCACTTAAAGTGACAGTTCCCACTTAAAACCAAAGGCCACCACTCGTCTGTCAGTTTGTCTACTGTAGTGGCTTGTGAGTTGCTGTGATTCTGAAAGCTATGCCACCGGTATTTTAAATACCAGCAGGGTCACTTATGGTGGACAGGTTTCAGATGAGTTTCCAGACGAAGACAGATTGGGAAGAAAGAGTGGTGAACTACTTCCGAATATTTAGTCGCTGAAAATCTTACGAATAGCAGAGAAACGCTGTCAGATATAGTGCCAGAAAATGAGTCCCACAGGTTGGAAGGCGCTCAGAATGCAACTGGGGAAAAGCTGCTTCCTTGAAGAAGAGCAGACCGTGATGACGGGAATGGAGTACAGCCTGTAGGAGGAAAGCCCGCAGGACCTTCATTTGCTGATGAGGCACAACTCAGAATGAAGAGAAACAGCTGTAAACATCCATTGACTATTGGAACATGGATTGTATGAAGTATGAATCTGGGAAAATTGGAAGATGTCAAAAATGAAATGGAAAACATCAATATCTTAGGCATTAGTGTGCTGAAATGGACTGGTATTGACCATTTTGAATCTGAAGACCACATGGATTACTATGCCAGGAATGATAAATTGAAAGGAATGGTGTTGTATTCATCGTCAAAAAGTACATATCCAGATCAGTCATGAGGTACAACGCTGTCTGTGATAGGATAATAATATCCATGCGCCTACAGGGAAGCCCAATTAATACCATTATTATTCAAATTTATGCACCAACCACTAAAGCCAGTGA